TACCTTACTGAAATAAATGTATAAAGATAAATGCAGGAAATTTGCGTAATTGTCGTGCGACGTAGTTAGTACGTCGAATCGTATTACACATTTACTCTATCTAAAGAACGGAGACTATTAAAAAGTGTGTCAAGGCGAAATAAATAAATATCCTTGTTATCACCGACGTTGATATGTTTATTAATACGTTTCGCAATATATTGTTTTACTGGCACGAATGAGTCTACAGTGATCGGGACCTCAATTCTTATACAACTAAAAATTTCGGCTCGCTATCATCCTATGAATCGAATACGTAAACGACAGAACGTGAGTAAAGAGCGAAAAAAGTTTGCGACTTACCGATCTCATATGGAAGTTCCCTTTAATCCAACAAACGGCACTAAACAGGAGCTGTAACGGGATTGCCACAGGTCGATATCACAATCGTAATCCTACGTAAGTCGCACAATCGCAACGTTTTCCACACGGAACAAAACGCACTCAGTATTATTTTACGACACACGTGGCGCTAGCAAATAGATGTCACGCGCTATCGCGGTTTCACCATTTCACGAAACACTCGACGACGATCCTCGCTTTCACTCCAAGGGCTTATTTCCCTTCGTGATTCGAGAAACTGTGCCCCGTGAAACTTGTAAAATCCTCGTGTCCGTCGCCGACCGTTCGACACGTGGTTGTCTAACGAGTTCAAGCGTCACCCGGCCAGAAACACGTACGCTCCTATACTCCGTTACGTAACACTGGAATTCTTCCAACAGATTGAGCAGGTTCCATTCCTTGGTACACGTGAACTTACTCGATCTTCGAAAGGGAAAAATAAAGCAACACTTCACTCGGTAGTTCGCCTAGTTCCCTTTTGTCAACGTGTCACCGTTCGATGCGAGCGCGCGTTTCGGTTGAATTAGTAGAAATGGAAATACAATTACTATGCAATGGAATACAAACATCGTCTCGAGGTCGGAGTGAATGTGTATGGCGTGAGAATTTCGATTGATAGAACGGCGACGCTGGCGACTTTTTTGATCCCTATTGTAAAGCAAAATCCGTTAGGTTGAGCCAAATCAAGTTCACGTGTACTTAAGAAATATTCCAAATTATTTTTCTCGAAAATAAGCCCTTCATTTTCTCACGTAGAATAACCAAATTCTTGTACCGTCGATTTCTGCTCGCAATGTATATATACAGAGTATCTTACGTAAAAAGTTTGAAGCTACTTATTTAGAAATTAATGAAGATGTCAACGTCACTGTTGCTACAGTCGAGTGGCATGGGGTCTTACTGTGCAACCAATTTTTTTAGTGTATCTTCTGTTAGGAAGACGAGAGTCTTACTAACTAAACGAACGAAACGACGCTGCCGATTAAATCAATTCTCGATCCATCCCGATGGAAACTCTCGACAATCTCCCTCGAATGGAAACTAATGACAAGGTGGGCTGATCGTGAACGTAACCGAGTCAGGATTCCCCAAGACCGTTGCTAACACGACGAGGGATAGGAAAGCGCAGGGATAGGAAGACGCATACATCCTATCTGTTCGATACATGCGTTTCACGAACACGTACAATCGACGGTACATATATAAATAACCTAATCTAACCCAGACCTATTCCTTCGACTAACCTTCGATTTACGTCGAAGATCAGTTCCTCAAAATATCCGTGTAAATCGAGAAAAAAGAACGTTACTTTTTAATTCAAGTACTTCCATCGGACCCGCGAGTAACTCGAGGCATGCAAAGAATATTCTTTTTCCCCAACGAAAAAAAATTCAGATCCGAAGGGGTTAAGCCAGTTTCGAGAGGGGTTGTAAAGCGATATTCTTGTTGGGTGCAAGCCGCTAAATGGGTTTCTCTTACGAGGTACGGGGTCTGTTCACTGCAGACCCAATTGACCAGAACTCTTACCTGGATGAAAAATCTCGAATAACAAGTAAAAGATAAAAATTGATGTCTAATTTGTTCGATAAAAATTGGAGTCTGGTTTGTAATATAATTAATTAATATTTCACGTTAAAATAAAATTAGAGGAAGCGGATGTTAGAGGAAGTAGATTTAGCCGTTTGGGTCAGACGCGTCTGACGGTAGAAGTAGATTTAGCTGTTTGGGTCAGGCACGTCTGACGCTAGAAGTAGATTTGGTTTACCTACTACTACGTACACGTTTACTTCTACTACTATACTATCTTACTATCTATAGTATAGTATACTTACTATACTATCAGCTTCGTAGTACGAATCTATTTACTTGCCGAATACCATCCTTCTTCAGAACCTAGCTATGAAAAATTCATTTTTCATCCTACAATAAACGCGTGAAAATTCAGCTAAAGTTACACGTAGCAAACGAACCAATCGGCACCCAAATTCTTCCAATTCAACTATATCAATACATGACACGAGACTTTGTTTTCAACGAGAATGATCAATTATTGGATGATGCTTCAGCCCTTTCGCTGCAAACGATCAATGTATGATTAACCCTTTGCCAATTACGGATGCCTTCTATACCTATATACCGAAGTAAAAAGATGAATACTACTATGCTTTTCCCAAATATTTAAATCTCACGGCAATATCCTATCCATAAGTGGGCCATGGTTCGTACAGTTCCCCTCGAGGACTCACAACCGATTATCGTCGCGTGTAAAATAAAAACAAACACGTTTTCCATCTCACAATGAATGTGCGTCTAAGGTCTATCACCCGAAAAGAATTCCTCCAAGTTGTGAATCGGTGGCACCCTGGAGTCAAGGACGCTACTGTTCTTGGCACCCTGCGGTATCTCCGAAGTCACTATATTTGTACCGTTGACTGTACGTGGCTATTGAACGATGGCTGGATATATAATCGGTCTGGGTAATTACGTATGCGTTCGACGGAACAAGAAGAGAAACAGAGACGAGCTCTGGCGTGCTCGATGAGATCGAGGGATCCGGATTGGGGAGATTCCCGGATCGGCGGCGCGATCCCGCTGCATGAAAGTACCACTGGCCACCTCAGTTTGCGAATCACGCGGGTGGAAGAGAGAAAGAGAGAGAATTGTGAGAGGGCAAGGTAGAATACGTGTACGATACGCAGCTCGTATAGAGGAAGAAAGAAATTGCGTCAAACGGAGCGTGAGATCGCGTAAGAGGTCCGCGCACGACTATCGACGCCAGGTGACGGGTGATTAGAATAAGGTCTTATCAGCGTGAGCGTGCACGAGGTACTGAACCGCGGTACGGGATATCCAGTGCCTTGGCCCCTCTTTTGCCGTACAGAAGAAGTGGAGGGACAGACAGGTGCTCCAGCTTCTGTCTGCCCGCCTGTCTGCCCGCTTGTCCCGAACGCGTTTGACTCCAACCTTTAGGCTACGTTCACACTCCATCTAGGACGATCATACGCGATTACCGAGTGCGTTTGAACGATGCGTTTGGTCATCGAATTAAACCTATTTTCGTTTATACTAAAAATACGAATCATTCCATTTCATAATAAATGGAACGTTTAAATTTAATAGCATTAAAAAAAATGATAGCCTATTCATCGGTTAATCAATCTTCTCTGAATGTAAACAACTGTTAATTACATCCTGATTCAATGTACACATATTTCATCTTATCGAGAAATCGGTAAATGACCCCCGATAGAATTTAGTTACGCGGAAAATCCGCATTTAATACGCTACGATGCGCGAGCAACTCTTGCGTATGGTAATTTTGATAATTATGCGATCGGTCGTTGCATTTCAATGTCAAAGGATCAACGATTCAACATTCAATTTCTCGTGTTTCTTAATAGAAATCCTGTTGGATATTACTAACGAACGTGCATCTTATTTCCATATCCTTAGTCGACTGTGAAATTAAAGCGGCCTAGAAACGGTCCTTTCGCAAGAGAATATTCATACGTACTTCTATACTAATCTTGTATCGTGTCACTTGGTAGCAAATATTCTTTTTGTTATCCACGCTGGAGAAAATCTTACGTGCGAGAAGCATTGACCAAGTTCTTCCTTGCCTTTTATGCAACTGTACAAACTTTTACCAGATAATAAAGCATCCTTTTGTTATGCAGGATGTTCTTTTGAACAGTTTCAAAGCTCTTACTTCTCATATATTGGCCCTCTTCTAGCTCGGGTACCTCGGGATTGCTTCATTGCCTTTTATGCAACTGTACAGATTTTTAGCAGATATAAAGCATCCTTTTGATATTTTGATATGATGTTCTTTTGAACATTCTCAAAGCTCTTACTTCTCGTCTATTGGGGCCCACTGGGCTCCCCTATAGCTCGGGTACCTCGGGGTTGCTAAGCCCGTACTATAGCTTAATAAAACACCGCTACAGCCCCTGAGGACTAATGATTCGCAATCCAGTTCGATATTGGCTCTATCAACGGGATGCAGAGAGTAGAAGAACTGATACGCTGAGGTGTCGATTGTCTTTCTCTCGAATCAGACCCGGCAAGAGTTTATAGGAATTTCGTTTGACGAGATGAATCAGAGATGCAAATAATATGGAAAGATTAATCAGTAATAAATACACAAAAATTATTATACATTATTCTCCTTTCACGAAATACCTACTTAAACAGGCTATGAAAGATGATATGAGATGATGATCTCACCTGAAAATAAGGGTAGAAAACTATTAATGAAAACATTGACTCAGAACACTCTAAATAATAACATACTGAATAATCAAACAATCGACTCCTAATCCTATCGCAGATTCGCTTATCTGATTCCACAAGTGGACAATACTTCTTTTAATCTATAGCAACAATGTTTTAAATACCATGTACATTCACGCACACATTTTCATCCACCCTACTAAATATTAATACAATTCCTACTAAATTCCGAGACTGTTGAATATTAAGAAAATATATATTATTTTAATGTATGATAAGAGATTTTTCTTTAAAAAACTGGTGATTAATGCCCTGTTTTGGACAACGCACTGCCATCTGTAGGGATACAAACATAACATGATAAGATTAGATGGCATTACAGACGACGTCGTCTGTAGTGGCATAATCATCTGACGTTTCCGTCGAAAACTTTTTTGTTTGTATTTACCGGAGCAGGTGCGAAGACGGCCTCTCGTGAAGGATTATATTAAAGATGTTCATAGGAAGATAGCATCAGACAAAATGAATAAAAATATGAATTCACCGTCTAAGCTTACGGAGTTCGCCCCGTTAAGCCCCGAAGAGAGTCAACCTGTCGTTGCTTCCTTATTTTCCAAGTTCTTCAACTTCACTAGAAGTAAGATATTCTCTTCTATATCATGTTTGAATGTTATGGAAAATGTTGTGTCTGTAGTTAAAAAGTATTATTCATGGTTCACTCGATATCTGTTAGTGTATTTGTCATTAATATATAGCGAAAGTATTTAGGAAACAACAAAGTCCTTGCGCTGTATAGTATTTAATGTTTAGGTGCTCAAAACGTTGATGATTCTACAGTGTCTTCTAGTAATGAGAAACAAAGCTCCTCTGATTCAGAGTCATGGAAACAATCTGAAAGCACAGAGGAAACACCGGAGGATGATAGCTCTAGCGTAATGAACTTTCCATTAGATACTCACGAAGGCAGAAGTTTACCGAATGTCTTGAAACGTATTAGTAACATTGTAGCTCAGAAAAGTAATGTAAGTCATCTTTTACTTGTTCTATAGATATTAGTATAAACTATACATCATTCAATCATATTTGAGATCCTCTGAATAGTTGAATAATGAAGTATATCGGTGGTCTATTGTATATATTATATTATTACTCTCCAAATATAGAACTTACGCTCTTACAAAGACTCTCAATTAAGAAGCTATTGGATGCCAGACAGTGTAAGCAAGCAATGCTACGAATGTGGAGAAAGATTTACAACATTTCGCAGAAGACATCACTGTCGTGTTTGTGGTCAAATATTTTGTTCAAAGTGTTGCTCTGATCAGATCACTGGAAAAATCATGGGATGCACTGGTAGGAAAATATCGGATGCATATTCATTATTATTTATTGCTTGGATGTGTAATGATAACTAAACTTTGGTTAAAGGGGATCTTAGAGTTTGTACATATTGTTGCAAAGTAGTTTTATCCTATTTACAATCGTCGGATATGAGGAGCGATCTGTCAGCAGATTTAAAAGCATTGCAGGAAGACCTTCAAGTTAAATATGGAAGCGATCCACCACCTACTACACAAAAATGTGAGAATGAAACTGTAGAGGATGAAACTTCTATCTGTAGAAAACCAAGCGTGGGATACATGGAAGAAAAATATGCTACAGGAAGGTATAATTTTTTTATCCAATTTGTCTTTTTAACAAATTTCGTGCTCTATATATATGCTGGAATTTACAAAAAAAAAAAAAAAACTATTTTTCCAGATCAGCAAATAGTTACTTAACGTCTCAGGAGCGTTCTCTAGCCTTACAAAACTCAGCTTCTTTAAGAATGGTTTACGAAGAGTTATTTAGATCGAGCCAAGCGATTCTTTTACAAACGCACAGAATTAGACTGAAAAGTTATCACAACTGCTTTTTAGCTAGCGAATTAGTGAATTGGATGATAGCACAAAATAAAGCAGCTACTCGGTACGAATAGAATAGAAAAACGAGACGTGCATTATGATAAAATATTAAATCATGATGGTTTTTTAGTGTGCAGGCTACTGCTATAGGGCAGGCATTGCTAGAAGCAGGTTTTATCGAACCAGTCATTGCCGACAACGTGTTTAGCGATACAACATCTATATTCAAACCAGTCAAATTATCTCATATACAAAGTATAGACTTGAGTGAAACTCAAACTACATGCGACGCACAAGAACCTGCATGGGTGAAAACAATTCCACAGCATGATTCGACAACTGGTAATATTTACTATAATATTTTATATGAGAAGACATACATCTATGCAAATTAATTTCAGATTCTGAAAGTGAAACAAAACCTTCGAATTCGGTGCAACAAACTACTGGGCGTTTACCATCATCTAGTTCAAGTTTTTATTTAGATTTAAATTTAGAATCGTCTACCGTTACGTTAAAAAGACCTACATCGGAGGATTTAACTACGATTTCTGTAGATAGTAGCGATGGTGTAATCGAACAAAAGGAAGCCACAGTAACATCACATACATGTAATTTTAAAATTGCTGATGATCTTCTGAACGACACACTACAGGTACAAGAATTTAAAGAAAGAAATGGTTGGCACAAACCGTCAAACCTTAGAACTGTATTAGGCGAACTACATGCGTACGAGTGTTTAACGTAAGTACTACGCATATATATTAATGAAAATAATGGCAATTTATACTAACATACACGTAATTATAGATCCGCGTATAAGCAACACGAAGATTCGTTAATTAAGCAACTTCTTAATAAAGAAGGCTTGTCGCAAACTTGGTCAGAAATAATACTTCCTATTGCCCATCAAATTGTCGACTTTGTTAGGCCAGACTTAAATCATAATGTCGATGATCTGGATATTCGACAATATGTTCAAATAAAAAAATGTCCAGGCGGTAATAGAGACGACTGTGAGATCGTATCCGGTGTCGTTTGCACCAAAAACGTTGCCCACAGGGGAATGAATGCGATGATAGCTCATCCAAAAATACTGTTACTTCAGTGTGGGCTTATGTATCAACGCGTCGAAGGAAAACTATTGAGCTTAGAACCAGTAATGTTACAAGTACGAACAAAATTTATTAACTCGCGAGCGATGTCAGCAGCTTGTATCGTAACGAAAATATTTAATTCACAGGAGAATCAGTATTTAGGTCACACAGTTGCTAGGATTACCGCTCTTGGTCCAGATGTTGTACTCGTACATCGATCTGTATCGAGATTAGCACAGGACAGACTCAGAGAATGTGGCGTAACACTTGTTTTGAATGTAAAACTTAGTGTTTTGGAAAGAGTCGCACGATGCACGGGTGCTAATATTGTCAATACCATCGACGCGCACATACGTGTAAGGTATATGCTCGGTACATGCAAAAAGTTTTACTTGCGAAATTTCTCATGCGAAAAAAGTGAGTAATCGAAGATTCTGATATGTTGTTTTTATATTTGTGGTATAGAACTTGGCGATTCTTTCAGATGGAGTTAAAACATTGATGTATTTCGAGGGATGTGCAAATCCACATCTGGGGTCTACGATCTTATTACGAGGCGGTCCTCAAGCAGAATTGAAGAAAGTGAAAAATGTCACTTCGATGATGATTTTCGCTGCTTACTCATGGCGTCTTGAAAAGTCATTTCTTATGGATGAATTTGCAAGGCCGCCGTCTCCCAAAGACAATTCATTTTTGGATGAAACATCGAATAAAGATTCTACAGATTTTGAAGAAACTAATAAAGTATTGCACGCCAAAACAAGCGAAGAAAACGATCCGGGAGATTGTGGAGATAGCATGGAAATTTTGAGAGTATCAAAAGTTCAAACAGATTCTGGAAGTACATCGAGCGATAAGCAAAGCATAGAACTGGAGTTTCCAGCTAATAGAAGTACACCTCTGAAAGATAAACTAACAGATCAAACTTACTATACCGAAAATAGGTTAAGTTCGAACTCGGTTAAACAAATATCCTCCATGTTAACCGAAGATTCCGATCCTTACGACACTTTAAAATTATTCAAGTCTAAAACTAAGTCTTCCGTGATTGATTCAAGAAGTTCCGAGAATTGTTCAACGAGTAAAACATCTAATAGTAACGATAGTCTAAATAGTACTTCTGGACTTGGTACAGACTGCAGCAAAGATCAAAATAGCACCATGGAATTGTTTAGCGGTAAAGGTAGTGAAAAGGCAAACAAAGAAATTGAAGAAGAAACGGAGAAGCCAAAAGTAAAAGATAAAGTCCCTTCAGAGGAGAAACGTATTTACGGAGAATCTATTAGCGATCAGAGCGATCCTCTGCATCAGTATTTAAACGAAGATGATGAAGACGTTTTCAATCGAACTAGTCCAAACGGTCAGCATTTAAGCGTCGCTGATTTACCACTATTAAATAAATTTAAGAAAGCGCTGGAGGGAACTATACTAACTGTCTCGCCTTATTTAAAGTTTTCCATACCGTACTTGGAAACCGAAACAGGTAGGAATTGCGTGTTGCGAAGTTTCTTTCCGAGGGAAATCTACTATTCTGACCAATTCTTGGACAAAGTGAAAGAGGTTAAAACGAGCAGCGCGTCCGTAGATCAGAGCGGGATAGAAAATCCATTGATGAAGTTAAAACTAAAGCCTCGGCATCCGTTTGTTCAAGCAAGGTTAACCACGGATGTAGACAGTCGTGAAGTACAAACTTTATTAGCGAATTTTAGAGCGTGTGGCAGCCGACTATACCCAACGAATAACGTTTTATCGGAGAAACAACAAATTCTAATGCAGACTGAAGTTAACGATCAAACGCCTACGTGGCCTGATTGTTTAGATCCAGCTAGTCATCAGCGCCTATCTGTGTCGTTTTGCAGCTTTTCGCATACTGGTAACGATACACCAGCGTTCTGCGTGAATCCGTGGGTCGTTAATATGGATTTGTATGGAAGAAACGACATAGCGCTCGGACGTTTTTTAGAACGTTACTGCTTAACGTCCGAGTACAAGTGTCCAGCTCAGGCCTGTCGAGCACAAATTGCTCATCACGTTCGACGATTCGCTCACGACGGTGGGTGCATACATATCAATTTAAATGAAATGAACTCCGAGCCGTTCGCCCAAGAAGACACGAATCAAATTCTGATGTGGAGCAAATGCATGAGATGTAAAAGCGTTTCTCCCGTAGTACCGATGTCAGACGACACCTGGTCGCTGTCCTTTGCCAAATACTTGGAATTACGTTTCCACGGGAGTGCTTACGTCAGACGTGGCACGGACACTTGTCAGCATTTGCTTCATCACGATCATTATCAATACTTCACCAAGAAAAACATGCTGGCCGTGTTCAAGTATACGAAGATATCGCAATGGGAGATTTCCCTGCCGCCGCCTCTGATAAACATTATCTACGATCCGAAACAACACGCAGACGTGATCGAAGAGATGAAGAGCTTGGCGTTAAAGGGCGACGAAGTTTTTTCTATGATACGAGAGAAGATAACGACTTTGCAAATGGATATGGATAGCGTAAACGCTGCCAAGCAGCAATTAACCAAAGATCAGCAGTATTTCAAGAACAAAATAGATGAGATTCAACTGAAATTAACGTCGCCGACATTAGAAAATAAGAAGCTCGAAGGGAAGGTGTCGGAGAAACAGGTCCAAGCTTTAATGTTCAGAATCGAAGACGGGATTGTGATACTAAAACGATTGATATCGGAAGTTGTGTTCACATGGAACGTGAAGATTTTAGAAATGTCCGTGAAAAAGAAGGACGAACGACCACGACGGTTTACCGAACGATCGTTAACGGCTGGAAGCAACAGTATCATCGACACGGATGGGTATATCACAGAAGATACCGCATCGGAATCTCAAATCGAAGATTTGAGCCCTATGTCGGCGGATTACAATGCCATCGACGCTATCACAGCTGCGCAAAATGATATACAAGGGACGGAAGGCGTAGAAAGTTCAGACAACGAAATCTTAGAATATAATAATCCTGAGGACATCGTCGTCATTCAGGGATCCCCGAGAATGCATCAGAGGTCGCATTCCGACGTGTTGCCCCTCACTGTGGAAGATATGCCGGATAAGAAAAAAAAGAAGAAAACTATTTTATCGCAATTATTGCCTTCCGTCCCTGTAACACAACCGATACCGAATCCTTTGGGATCTTTGGAGCATCATTTGTTACCTCTTGGGTAGGATATTTTTCTATCACAGAGAAAACGCATAATAATCATATTTGTTAATTACTCTACGTACAAAGATATTTCCATTTTACAGATCGGTCGTACCGATAGTGGTGTTCGAATCGGAACCTTCATCTATAATTGCACACGCGCTGGACTCGCACGACTATAAACACGCGTTACACGAGTTAATGCGAACGACGAAGGGGCCAGATTTGAATCCTAGCCCATTGAACAAGCGCAAATTCCCCGAAAATAAAGAGAGTCTTCCCGACCTGATGCAATCCGGAGAATTTAAGCGTCCGTCCGTTTTATCGTTTTTCAGAGGGAATAGCCCGAACCCAGCGAGTCCCATAGACTCCGATAAGGGTGTCTCGAATATGGATTTCAGTGCTCAAAGTCTGGCAACGACGTCAGAGCCGACAGACGAAGATAAGAAAGCTACGAAGCAGCAAAATTATATCGAGGTTCAGTTTAACGACGCGACCACCAATTTCTATTGTAGAATATATTATGCTGCGCAGTTCGCTGCTCTCAGAGACAGCGTTTTAACGTTCGGAGAGGATGGATTCACAAGGAGCATGAGTCGAAGCGTGCAATGGGCCGCGAGGGGTGGAAAGAGTGGGAGCGCTTTTTGTAAAAGTCGAGGTAAATAATTATCATATGATACGGGAAATTATATTAGGTTGTCCCAAACTGTTGGTATAGCCTAATATACTTTTCGTTACAGTGGTATGAATTTTTTTCATAATATTTGAACCCTCTCTTTACAGACGACAGGTTCATCATAAAAGAGATGTCTAGAATAGAGATGCAAATATTTCTCGATTTTGCACCAAATTACTTTTCGTATATGGAGAAATGTCAACAAACTAAACAACCGACATTGTTAGGAAAGATAGTCGGTGTTTACAGAGTATCGTTTAAAAATAATACGACAAATGCCGCGCTTCGCACTAGCGTGCTTGTGATGGAGAATTTATTTTATAATAGAACGATAACGGACAAATTCGATTTGAAAGGTTCGGTGAGAAATCGGCTAGTAAATCCCGTCGACACGTGTCACGAAGGAGAACTAGTGCTGCTCGATGAAAATTTATTGAACAGTTAGTATCGTGTCAAGCTTCCATCAGACACGTTATTTTTAGGGTTCCCATCATTCACCTGAGTCTATTTTGTTCAGACAGCTTGTTTAATCGTGATTAAAAAGACCCAGGTGCATGATGTACAGTTAATATTTTTCATACCGAACTTACGAACCGATAACAAGATAAATTGCATTTTTAGTGAGCTGCGATTCGCCCCTATACATTAGATCGCATTCTAAAGCAGTTTTAAACAGAGCCATTGAACAAGACACGAAGTTCCTGGCTGATAATTCTGTAATGGATTATTCGTTGCTGGTTGGTTTGGAGCCAAATTCCGATGAACTCGTATTAGGTATAATCGGTAAGTTGCACGATCATTTTTCCAAAGGCACGAAATGTCTTTTTTTTAAATTATATCGTGTTTGTAGATTACATACGAACATTCACATGGGACAAGAAATTAGAAACGATGGTAAAAAAATCAGGCATATTGGGTGGTCAAGGAAAATTACCAACGATAATATCACCAGAAGAATATCGAGCCCGTTTCATAGCAGCTATGCATCGATACTTCTTACCTGTACCGGACAGATGGTCCGGTTTAGGTAAAGGTGTTGAAACGTAAAAGACATAATTTCCGAAAAATGAAATTTTCAATTTTTCACAGATATTCTATACCGAAAACATTGTACATATATTTTCTATGCAATTGACTCACACGTAGCGAACAGTGTTGCGTATAGAGATACGTACTGTATATTAATATTTTATGAAATTACCAGTAGATTGCAGCATTTTGTAACGAAGTGATGAAAATAAGTTAACTTTGTCATGTCGCGACGTTCCATTGTATAGTTTCAATCCTTTAATTTATGCTACGATAAATATTTAAATCACGTCATTTCTGTTTATACTCATCAACACATTAATTGTTGTATTACATGTATATACTAAGTTTATAATAAACTTTACAAACAAATCTCTATTTAAGCTCAAATTATAGATGGTTAAAATGAGCGAGTTACATAAAATTATATAGAAATCTATGAAAGCACCATTATTAATGTTTTATTTAGATTATTTTTTCAGAATTATGTACATGAACATTATTTATTATTATTGATAGTCAAATAAACAATAATAATAATATAATAATAATAATAATAATAATAATAATAATGAGTTTTAACGTAATAGTATTTTCATAATAGTTAAGACCAGTGTTCCGAAATTTTCATGTCCCTATGGGCAAACGAAAAATATTTTTAAAAAAATATCGTATCACGCCAATATTATTTTAGTACATTTACACATTTTACAATCAGGTCACAACAACAAAGTATAGCACGTAAACTATATCTTGCAATAAAGAGATTACGGAACACTGATCCATACGTTACAAACACAAGGAAGATATTAAAGCGTACACCTTACAGAAAAACACTTCGTCATACTAAATTCTGTATGATCGTAATTTCTGTCGTATTTACATAAATGAATACATAGTGATGAAGCTGCAGCCGAAATTTGAATATTTGAACTATTCCATCTGTGAAAATTAGGTTATAGTTGATCGGTGTCCCTTGACTGCATCTCTCGAGGCTACGATTACAAATTGCAGGCAAACAATTTATAAGATTGTGATCGATTAATTGAATTTTCGATAGATATTTTCACAGCGAAGCTTCATCATTGGATAACTATCATTCATTGACAATATTTTCTTTCACACTGTCTCTCAAACTAAATATGATTCATAGATGCGCTGTGAGATTAAATACGTTGTCGTGGAAAAAAAAACAATCGTTTGAGCGAGAAATGAAAATATATACTTCTTCGGTTGTACGTTATCGATTAGCCGTACTGTAACAAAGGTAACCGAATGAGAAACCATTTGTATCCTATACTGAATTATACATAGTGGGTGAATTACACAAGCTGCCGTACAAGAAGTACACACGTAAAACAGGCGGTACGAAAACATTATTCGTAATTCGTATTTTGTAAATTCAATTGACGATGAAACAGCTTAGCTAATATGGCTCCACTGCTTCGTTTTTCCCTGTAGAAAACAAAAATGACCTACACTGGATACCATCCGAGCGAGTCATCTCTCTATCGTGAATGATGGCTAAAAAAAATGTATAGTTTCTCGAACAATATAATTTCACATAAATATACCGAATGGACATTACATAGTCGATAAATTTCTTTTTACAATTTTTTTACATTATATTCCTGATAGTTTCATGGTTACTAATGATTAGCCTCTTGTCTTTCTTCTTTTTATTCGTCGCACGAATAACTTTGCTTTTGTCTACAACAAAGTTGAGTTGTGATTAGTTTGCGATTACTTTTATTTCATTGTCAGATTAATCAGTAATTTGGAATCATTCAGAGCTCGGTTTACCGTTAAGCTAGTAATCAATAATCATGTATTACGTTATGCTCAACGCTGATTTAGATGTTATTGTTATAAAACAATACCGATAATATCGAATTCCATATTAATCTCTGAAATCAAGTTGTATCGTTATTTTAGGAATAGGGTAACAAGTATTCCATTGAGTTTTTCGGCTGCTTCGTACTCGACCTTAAATAAAATATCGAGTTACAATCGCAATATCTCTGGACTCTGCTGTAACAAAATTAGAAATACTAATCTTCATCGTCGCTAAGCGCTATCCAGTGCCGGCAATTTTTTGTACTATGGTGTGTGGAAGTGGTATTAAATTTCTCATTGACTTCCGCGGTGCGAAACCGCAAATGTTTCCTATCTAGCCGCGAGTCTGTAGATCGAGAAACAACGAGGAAGATACCCGGGACGGTGGAGGAGGCTTCTCGCTACTCATTTACAATCAAGCGGCATTCTGGACGCATACTAACAAGGAGGGACACTTTAATGTAACGCTCGCTTTATAATGCACTTTCGCACAGTGACAGTACTCGAAATTCAGAAGCTCTCTACCTCTACAAATTCATATTGGAGTAGTACTTTACGTTAGTTAAGACATTCAACCTTAACATTCAATACCTGCTAAACTATTAATCATCTTACCAAGAAACCATCTACCGAGAATCTCCACAATTTCTGAGTCATCGTCACCATGCGAGAAAGCCCATTAAAAAGTAACCGTCTACACCGAAGCTCGTCTTCTCGTAAGTTTTCTTTTATAAACGCTAAAGGAGTATCGCTGTCTTTCATAATTGTAGGAACTACCGTCCCAGCGCGTTCAAAGGAGAGAAGAACAATAAAAAAAAAAAAAATAAAAATAAAAATAATAGTCTTTGCAGCCTCTGCTCTCGCGTTCTGCGTATATCACCCTGACATACCCGTTACACGTATATATCGACGGAAGAGAAAAGGTTTACGAGAGGTCCAAGAGGCTCGTCGATCACAAGATTTGACATTTGATGCACCATCAAAGAAATAACAAACAATCGAGGGTCGTGACCGGCTACTAGAGATCCATATACACCTTTGTTTCGATACGATGGACCGTTTTTTCACGGAGATCGCTTCTTTCTATCGGCACACGCGCACACTAAATAAATCCTAACTTTTCCACGATGTATATGTGTGTGTGTGTGTGTATGTATGTATGTATGTGCGCGCGCGCTTTTCAGGAAAGCATACGTCCTTTTTGGGGATGAGGATACGAGCGCGTGCGAATCTCGGGTAATAATCGCTCGTGTCGCCACAGACGCGTAAACTCTTTTTGGGGAGCATACGATTTTTTTCCGTGAAACCTACGCATCCCCGTTTTAAACGCCGTTAACGTGCATATCGCATAGCGACCTCGGGATCACGCGCACGGAGTCCGCCGAGTGACCAGTTTCTTTTATCTCTGCGGCTCGCCTAAGCCAAATTGTTGTTGATTCTGCGTCTGTTGTTGCGCGTTCCCGGTCACGCTACACCGTCCACCGTGATGCTGTGCCGTCGTCCCCGTTTGCATCGAGTTTTGATGCAATCCATTCTGACTCGGGGACATCCCTGCAACGGTACAACGAATTTCGAGTTTAGTGGTTTACCTGGATTTGCGGTCGTCCCGTGCGATAAACAAACGATGACGAAGCATGCTTCACCCCTTTCTAGCACTTTCACCAATTGGAGTCTTTGAGGGTACTTATCAGCTTTCGTTACGTTCAAATAAATCTTGGATGTACTTAGAAAGGAATCGATTCATCCAACTACTGTTTATGCTTCTATAGGTCTACAACGGTAACATCGAAAACCTACGGAGTTAATTCAATACGTCGACGCCATGATTGAGGGTGTGTTTGGTTCGCAGACGTTGTTGAATGATTTCAGACGATGTTTGAACTGCGAGTGAATCGCTACTAAACAAGCACTGTTGTGAGCGCAATTTCTGGATGTATAGCGTGGACTGTTTAAATAGGATGACTTAAATATGACTGATGCTTATAGACGTGAAAAAAGAACCGTCAAGGAGAATGTTGAACATAGTAAACGCGAAAACAAGTTTCCCCGAGGTCGTTTTATTTTCAGATACCAAGGCCAGTGTTTTGTCTAGAGGTCTAAGATGGCGAAAAGAAATTTCTTTTGAACATATTGTCCAAACGTTATTAATAGTAACTTTTTCAACTTTTACATATTTGCACGATTCGAAACACGTAGCTGATATTTCGATAGTAACGTAAATTGAAATTAGTTTCAGAAACGATACCATGGGACACGAATGAGGCCAGTATCGAAAATCGATGGAAAAGAATGAAGAAAAGCATAAACAGTGGCTGGATGACTTATTCAAAGTTCTAAGTGGAGCACAAAGGGCTGCGAAGCAGTAGTTACAGAGCGACGGTTAACGTTTACGTACTGCAAGAATGTTTTTCTACGTTCTACGAAATCGATTAGTATGCGCAAAAGGAACGCGACTATGTAGCTCCTCGTTGGAAGGAAAACAGCATGGTAAAAATAAAATCATAATAAAAATTACAATGCAAACATCGACGAAGCGGTTACCTGTTTCACAAACGTAAAAATAATGTTACTGTTAGAATAAAAATAGAAAAACTAACTAGAATGTAAGTAATAAAACGACGGACCGAAATAGGAATCGGATCGTTGTCGAATGTAAAAGTAATTACTAGCGCACAAGTAATTGGAGTGAAACTTACCCGAGGGAGTTTTCTCTCCTGCGGACATTTTGGAGAACGCGAGAAGCGCGTCAGGGAAATTTGGCGGTGTGGCCGGTGTGTTGCATGGCGTTATCTATGAAAGAAACGTACGTTTTATGACTTCTCGAAAGTATCGATAAATATCATTCATACGTTGTCTTATAACATATATAACGGTAGTAAGTACAACTCTTCTAACAGTGTTTGTTTACGTTCCCGTGTGGATCGCGTGTATGATTATTTAGGTCGAGAGACCAGGGCGCATGACTGTACAGTCGCAAACATAGATTCTCCGTTCGTGGATCGATACCCGCAATCAACCTCTTTCGCGTGTTCCTTTACTGGGCATAAGATTGCACAGATTTTACACGCCGATTATTGTTACATCGTCACGTTTACTGACGCGATTCCAAACTTATTGATGTGCGATTATGTACTCGATTAAAGTCACCTCTATGCATCGTACAGAAAAGATGAAGTAACCAAACGAAGAAATATGCATTTAGAATAAACTTGATAAGTAAAATTAACTTTACATTAGTACGTAATTAAATTTATTGATGTGCAATTCTGTACTCGATTAAAGTCACCTCTATGCATCGTACAGAAAAGATGAAGTAACCAAATAAAGAAATATGCATTTAGAATAAACTTGATAAGTAAATTAACTTTACATTAGTACATAATTAAATTTCATAATAGCGTTGTATGATATTTATGTTATCAGGACCTTTATGCATCGTACAGAAAAGATGAAGTAACCAAACGAAGAAATATGCATTTAGAATAAACTCGATAAGTAAATTAACTTTACATTAGTACATAATTAAATTTCATAAT